CTCTAGGAGACTAAATAATTTGCTCTGGGACAATTGCCAGAGATCCAACATAAACTCAAATCTTCTCATTGCAAAGACCGTTCTCTAGCCGCCAGTCCAGCTGTCATAAGTTTATGCTACTTAGTAAAAGGTTGTGTTTTAGAGAGGGAAAAAAATCCCGCTGCTGAAATGACACGTCTCTTAAGAGTCACCACAGCTCACCTGGTGACCATGTGGGGAGAGTGCCTTGAAGGCAGTATGCGTACGAGATTACTGGCAAGACTACTTGGGGACAATATACAATGGTGATTCTCAAGCTTCTTGGTCTCAGGTCCCCTTCGTAATCTTAAAAATTATCAAGCAGCCCAAAGAATTTTTGTTTCTATAAGCTATTTCTAGCAATACTTATATTTGAAATTGAAACTGATAAAATTTGAAAATATTGATTAATTTAATTTAAATAATAAAACAATTACATGTTAACATAAATATGATTTTTATGAAAAATAATTATCACAACTGATGAGAAGAGTTACATTGTTTTATATATCTTTAGAAGTCTCTTTAATGTCTGGCTCAACAGGAGACAACTGGATTCTCCTTTCTGCCTCTGCATTCAATCTACTGTGACATGTAGGTTCATTTCAAATGTATAAAGAAAATTGGGCCTCATAAAAATATATGGTTGGAAAAGGGAAAAGGCAAATAATATATTAGTATTGTTATGAAAATAGTTTTGACCTTGCAGACCCCATGAAAGGGCTTTGAGGACTCCAAGGGATTCAGAGACCCCCAAACTGGGGATATACAAAGTATTGCACCCAGAGTAACACAGGCACTCAGTCTTAACTAGACTGTCTTTACACAGGACAAAAGTAATTGAGGGATGAGAAGTACTCAGAGGGCACTCTGATAAGGTATTTCAGTAAGGGGACAATCTGGGTCTTCTATCCCAACCCTTGAGAAGGAAGAAGAAAAAGAAAACAGGTAGAAAGAAGCAGAGCCAATATTTGAACCCAGTTTCCACCCCAGCATGTATTGACTCATCTACTTTTTTTTTTGACTAGGCAGTGGGGTTAAATGACTTGCCCAGGGTCACACAGTTAGTGAGTGTTATTTGTCTGAGGCCAAATTTGAACTCAGGTCCTCCTGACTCCAGGGCTGGAGCTCTATCCACTACTCCCCTAGCTGCCCCAACGCATCTACTTTTCTCAGCAAGTCACCTTTCATGACCAGGGACACACATTTGTGAAATGGTTTACTGGGTTTAGAGAAAGACTCTTCAGCTGATGATGGTTAATCAGTCAACAATTAACAATCATTTGTTAAGCACCTGTTATGTGCTAGGCATTATGCTAAGTGCTGAGGAGGGAAAGAAAGGCAAAAACAAAGTCCCCGACCTCAAGAAGCTCACTTCTCATAGGAGAGACAACATGTAAATGACAAAAAAGATATATGCAGGGTAAATTGGAGGTAAGCTCAGAAGAAAGGCACTAATTTTGAGGGTGATGGGGAAAACCTTTTTTATTTAAGCAAAATTTTATCATTCCCCAACTGATAAATGGTCAAAGGATACAAACAGGCAGTTTTCAGATGAAAAATTATATTTGACGGCATAATTTAAAGCTATCTATAGTCATATGAAAAAATGCTCTAAATTACAATTTCTTAGAGAAATGCCAATTAAAACAGCCCTGAGGTACCACATCACACCTATCACATTGGCTAACATGACAAAACAGGAAAATGATAAATGTTAGAGAAGATGTGGGAAAATTGGAACATTAATGCATTGTTGGTGGAGTTGTGAACTTATCCAACTATTCTGGAGAGCAATTTGGAACTATGACCAAAGGGCTATTCTCCAAGGAGAATCAAGGTCACTAGAAATCACATGAAATACTGGTTCACCTAGTAATAAGTGCAACATTAAAAACAAATAGCATTATACATGATCTTTCCATTGAGCTTCCATATGAAAAACTAACAGTAGAAACGGATCTTCTGGTAATCCTGTAAGCTCCATGAAGAGCTTGAGAGATGTGTCAGTAGGCCACAGAAAAGGCATCCTTCAATTCAGGGGAAATGAAACCTAAACCTGGATATGCCTTGCTGAAACAACAACAAAAAAAATAACAAACCACCTGGTAGAGATGACAGCATAAAATATTGAGCAGAACCAGAGTCCTGGAGGCAGATAAGAAACGGATTTTGGATTGGGCTGATTTACACAACTCTTTTTCTTAAAATGTCTTGAATTTAAAAAGTGAAAAGCTTCATTATATTTTCTCAGAAATAATTACAAAGATTAAAGAGCTCTACACAATTTAAAGACACCAAGAGGATGCTGAGCACCCCAGGAGCCAAATTTTAGAAAGTTAGCCCTTGGAGTAGAATGGCCCCATGGCTCTGGCAGCAGACACAAAGGAATGATGCTTGAAGAGGAGGTAGGGGACACTGCACAATTGGCCGGTGGACAAAAGAGTGTCCCATTCCGACAGGAACTCTTAGACTCCATTGCTTATCTCCCACTGCTTGTATCTCCGTCTTTATAAATGGCGATTTCAATAACACAAAGTCCTCTCTCAATTGGGTCTGTCAGAAGAAGGCCTTAAGGGGGCCGGGGTGGGGGGAAAGGGGGAGCCTATATCTTCTCATTCTGTTCCTGAATATATTTGGTGGTTTTCCAAAGAACCTTCTCATAAAGTGTTTCCATGGCCAAAAAGATTGTATATGCCATCAAACAAGCTTAACAGCCTTGAAGGTAAGATTGGCTCCCATGCTTTTCGCTTCTGCACAAAGGTTATTTAGAGTACGAACAGTTTCTTCAAGCTGCTGCTGGTCTATCCAGTTCTCCAGCTTGGCGAGGATCTTGGTCCAGAACTGACACTGGGTGCCACTGCTGTAGTCCCGCTGGATGAAGACCTTGCCGGATATGGGTGCCAGCTGCTACCTTTTAGAGCAAGGGCTGGCTGGCTGGGGCTGGGCTGGGCCATGCTTCGGGGGAGAGAAGACAGCTCAGGTCTCAGGCCCAGGTGCCGACTCCAAATCTTCCCTTTTAAGACTCCCAGCTCAGTGAGAACCTCTTTCCTTTTCAGGCAGCCAGTGCCCTGGCCCTCATCTAATCAAAGCCTACTCTCAGGAAAGGAGCCGACAACTCATTTATGGTTCCTAAGAGTCGTACGATTTGGACCAGGAAGGGATGTTTGAGATTATCTAGTCCTACCCTCTTCTTTTTACACTGAGGCCCAGAAAGGCTGGATTTGCCTAAGCTCATGTGCCTTCTTACTATCACAGCTGGGATTTGAACCTAGCTTCTCTCATTCCAAGTCCCAGGATTCTTGCCGCTTGTGAATGCCTCATCTCCCCTAACGGTATTTACCTTTTGAGTCCATCATTGAATCAGTCAACACAGAAAGGCTCAATTGAGGTCATCTCCGAAATAATACGAAGTAGTAAACACCTCCTATTGTTCAAATTTGCCCAGGCCAAGAAACGCAGCAAAGCTAAGTGCCAAGCTGGTGTCGAATCTATTAACTTTCCCCACAAACCCATGGCTCTTCCAAACTTCCATCTGTAGATGAAGGTGCCACCAATTCTTCCAGTTTTCTGGGTTCATGACTTCAGTGTTCTGTTCCTCACTCCTCGCTCTCCACATGTCTGATCCACCGGGGAATCTTGCTGTTTCTGCCTCTACATTTCTAGCATCCAATCCCTTGTCTCGACTCACATATGCTCCTTTCATTTCTCACCAGATTATTGTGACAGTCTCCCTGCTTCACGTCCCTCCCCACTCCACTCCATTCATTCTCCACACATTACCAAAGTGATTTTCCTTGCCCACATCACCCCCTTACGGTGCCTGACACATAATAGGTACTCAGCAAATGCTTATTATAGACTGATTGATTGAGTTAGGATTCCATTAGCATCACACTCTAGCCACCTGACTTCACTAGCTTTAGACCAATTAGTATCCTGAGTAACTGAGAGGTGGCTTTAGTTTACTGATTTAACAACCACAGAAGTTGAAACACTGAGCACAGCACGGTGATTAATTTCCTACCTCCAAGACTTTGCACAAGTGATTTCCCCCTAGTGCCATAGTAGAATCCCTCTCTTCGTACAAAGCACCGCTGGAGGCCACCTCCTACAGGATTTCCCACCTCCCCAGCGATGAACACACTTTCCTGCTAGAAATTACTTTGCATTGCTTACTCCCTAGCCCAGCATCAAAGGTGTTCCCCAACCTGTACCTCACACCAATTCTACCTTTCCTTGCATGCACTGGGTAGTTCCTACACACAGTGAATTTTATTTCCCTTCACATATTTATATACCATTTCTAAATTCTTCCCCTTTATAGACCTTCCATTCACTGTTCTGTAGACACATCTTGCCCTTTCTCACTTCCATGCCTTTGTTCATGCTGTTCCTTTGGGGGGTGTCTGCCCCACATTTCTGCTAGTTGAAAACCTACCCAGTTTAAATACTAACTCTCCTATGGTGCCTCTCTCCTGTCTAATCAGAAGTGATTTGATCTCTGATCTGATCTGATCTGATCTCTGCTTTGAACTCTCATTCCACTGTTCTCTTGTATATTTTGATGTTTTGTGTTGTATCATAGTCCTTTCTATCACCTCTGCTACAAGACTGTAAGCCCATTGAAGGCAGGGACTTGATCATCCTCATCTTTGTATTTCCTCAATACCTAGCAGAATCCCATGTGGTCAGTGTTTAATAGGTGTTCACTGAATTGAGCAGCAATTAAATTCAAGTGGTTATTGCTTAGAGCTGGAAGGAATTTTAGAAGATCCATTAACCATCAAATCCTCTCATTTGACAAATGAGGAAACTGATCCCCCAGAGAGAGGAGGTGACTGAGGTCAGAGACATTGCAAATAGCAGAGCCGGTGTTTGAACTAAGTTCTCTGCCTCCATATGAAGTATTTTTTCCATGACACTATACTGCTTCTCCTAACTGAATGGCAGACATGATTTGTTCTTATTTGGTCCTGCAGGTGGGTTTCTGGTCCCTTATCTCATCATGCTCATTGTTGAAGGGATGCCCCTTCTTTATCTGGAGCTAGCAGTGGGACAGCGTATGCGGCAAGGGAGTATTGGGGCGTGGAACACGATAAGCCCCTATCTTCGAGGAGTCGGTAGGTCCTCCATTCTTGCCTTCTTGTCTTGTTCGCTTTTGGGGAGTGCCATGCTCTGTCTAACATAGACCATTGGGTTCCATGACTGTAAGCATATCTGCTAACAGTAGAAAACCCCAAAAGATAAGCTTGGTTATAATAAAGGGGACAGGAAAGGATGCGAATGGATAGTAAGGAAAAATCTGGATCGGAAGAAAAAGAGAAGGTTGGCTATCAACAGAATTGCTGAACTAAGTTTGAATTTGAATGGTAGGTGAGAATATTGGGGGTGGGAGAGAAAGTTAGTTACTTGGTAAACTCAACTGCCCAATGCACCTCTCTGTAATTTACAGCCATGGAGGGTTGTCTGTGTCATTAAGGAGTTAGGTACCTTACTCAGGTTCACAAAGCTAGCATAGGTAAAACTTGAACCCATGTTTCCTAATACTGAGGCCAGCTCTTGCCACTAGGAAAGAAAGAAACAAACATTTGTTAAACTCCTACTATGTTTCAGGCACTTGACAAATATCTTACATAATCCTCACCACAACCATGGGAGGTAGGTGCTATTATGATCCCCATTTTACAGTTGATGAAACCGAGGCAGGCTGAGGTGAAGTAACTTTCCCAGGATCAAAAAGATAATAAGTGTCTGAGTCCAGATTTGAACTTGAGTTTTCCTGACTTCAGGGCTAGTGCTTTACCCATCCCCCCTCCCTCCAGTGGCATCTGTACTATGTTACCAATAATACTAATTCTTATGTTATATAGCGCTTTAAGGTTTACAAAGTACATTTCTCACAACACCCTTGTGAAGCAGACAATGCAAGTATTATCCCGATTTTACATATGGGGAAACTGAGGCTCTGGGAGACCAGTCGGTGTGCCTGAGATCACCCAGCTATTGTGACTTGAACCCAAGTCTCTTGACTACAGCTCTAGCTTTCTTTCCCTTACATGGCTCCCCCTCTCAATGAGGAAGCAGCATTGCTATAGTGGAAAAAGAATGCTGAGTCTCGAATCAGAGGGCATGAGTTCAAATCCCAGCTCTACCACCTGCCAGTCACATCATTTCTCTGGGTCTCACTTTCCTCATCTCTAAAGTGAGGGGGTTGGACTAGTGACCTTGGGGTTCATTCAAGCTCTAGACTTGGCATCCCATGATTTCCTTCCAGCTTCAAGTCTAAGACCCTAAGTTCCTATGAACGCTCTCCTGGGAATGAATGCTAGCAGACATAAACAAGTCAGTGAAAGAGCTCCAGCTGCCTTGGCCAAAGAAATATGCATCCACTTTGAAGGCAGAGCCATCTTCCCTCTGACCCTGCTATTATGGTTGCCACTGAGTGACCTCTACTGCAACCAACTTCTCTTCTATCCTGCTGCCATCTTGAATAACCAACTCATGGTCCACAGGCAAAGTGGCAGAGGAGTATTTCATGATTTACCAGCATCAGAAGAGAAAATGTAGGTGATCCCAAGCCAGCCTGAATGGACCAGCCCATGCAATGGGGGGAGCCACCAAAATGCCTTTTGAAATCAGGCTATATCAGTGGTCAAAGTCGATATTCTGCTCACCCTGTGCTCCGAGAGAGGGTAAAAACAAGCAGTTATGCACATATTCAGGTAAAAGGCTGTGTCAGCTCCCCTGTTTGCTGCAGAATAAAACTATCTCCATGGCACTGGTGCCTGGGAAATGAAATTGACTCTGCTCTGAATGACTGTTAATTTTTAACATTCAAGATTTGTTGTTTTTCAGTCTATATTGAGCAATGAGTAATTATTAATAATAATCTCTAGCATTTATATAAAATTTTATATTTTTCTAAGAACTTTACAAATATTACTTCATTTTAATCCTCACAACAATCCTCAGAGGTAAGGTGCTATTATTATCCCCATTTTACAATTGAGGAAACTGAGGCAGTCAGAAGTCAAATGACTTGCCTAGGATTACATAGCTAGTAAGTGCATCTGAGCTCTGAACCAGATCTTCCTGACTCTAGGTCCAGTACTCTAGCCGCTCTACCATCCAGAAGCCCACTTAAAGAAATCAGAGAAATGAGTGCTGTGATAGGAATCCTTACTAGGAACCTACATCTGCACTTTGGAAATTTCCATCCATTACTCTTAGGTCTGCTCTTTGGAGCCAAGCAGAACAAGGCAGATCCCTGTCATGTGACCTGAAGATAGCGTCCTCCAAATGTTCTTTTCTCCACATTTCTAATTCCCTCCACCAGTCCTTACATGTCACGTCCTCCAGGTCTTTCACCATCCTAGTTGCTCTCTTTTAGACACATTCCAGCATAAAATGGGGCAATCACAACTGAACAAACATTCCATGTGGTTAATCTTGGACAGAGGGCAGTGGGATGAGCATCTCTCTCATTGTAGACACTAAGGTTTGATGACTGTAGCTTCAAATTGCCGTAACGCTTTTTGGCTACCCCACTAGATGCCTCTGGTTTCATTATCCAACATGTTTGCTGCTTCTCCCACAAATCAAATAAGTATGACATCTCTCGTCTTCATCCAAGTCATTGGTAAAAATGTTGAACAGAATGGGACTGAAGATAGATCCCTGGGGCACTCTTCTAGAGACCTCAACAGGAAACCATTAATCACCATTCTTTAGATTCAAAATCTGAATCTACCTAACTGTGCTCATCATCCTGCCCATTCCATCTTGTCCATAAGAATAGGAGGTGAAGCTTTGTCAAATGTTTTCCTGAAATTCTGGTACATTTTGAGTGATCCTCTAACTTACCAGTTTAGTAACCCTACCAAATGAGGGCAGGTAGGTGGCATAGTGGATACAGCACTGGGCCTGGAGTCAGGAAGACTCATCTTCCTGAGTTCAAATCCAGCCTCAGACACTTACTAGCCGCGTGACCCTGGGCAAGTCTTAACTCTGTTTGCCTCAGTTTCCTCATCTGTAACAGAAGCTGGAGAAGGAAATGGCAAACTACTCCAGTATCTTTGTCAAGAAAATCCTAAATGGGGTCATCTGAACAACAGACCAAAAAATACAATAATAATAATGAAGAAGAAAATAATAATAACTAGCATTTACATAGAGCTTTAAGGCTTGCAAAGAGCTTTACATACATTAACTCATTTGATCCTCACAATAATCCTGTAAGAATTGTTATTATCCCCATTTTACAGATGAGGAAATTGAGGCACAGAAGCTACTTCTCCTTGATGAAGCCATGTTGGCTCTTACTGCTCACTGCTTTTGTTTCTAAAAGCTCACAAACCATTCCTTCAATAACATGTTCTAGAAGGAGGAGAATTGACCACAGTTTCAATCAACAAACATTTATTAAGCATCTACTTGGTTACTATGTGTAAGGAACCATGCAAGGCATTAGGGGGATATGAAGAATACAAGACAGGGTCTCTGTCTTCCAAAAGCTCATGATCTCATTAGGAAGATGAGACACAATACAATGGAAAGAGTGTTAGCTCTGGAGTCAAAGGGCTCGAATCCTGCCTATGAGGCTCAGTATCCCTACGACTTTGGGCAAGTCACTTCACCTCTTTGGACCTCGATTTCCCAACCTGTAAAATGAAGGGGTGAGATTATATGACCTCCGATGTCCCAGTTCTAGAGATGTAGATCATAGGACATGTAAAAAGTGAACTAAAAACATAAGATATCATGTAAACAGCACAAATATGAAGTGGGATGGCGGTTCTGAATATTGAGAAATTGCCATGAATTGGGATGGTCACACTGCATGGAGGAGGAGAGGCCAGAGCTAGACCCTGAAGGATGGATAGAAATGATGCTGGAGAAGAGAGAGAAAGAGAGGAAAGGAGAGAGACATCCAGGGAAGGAAAATGGTGCAAATACTGGTGCTTTACAAGAAAAGAATGCAAAAGGCATATTTGGAGTACCGGGGAGTAGAGCCCACTTTGGCTGGAGCCCGTTAGTTACGCAGGTTACCTATGAGCTGACGAGTTCTGTACGCTCATCATGGCCCTAAGCCTCGTGGGACTAGTGCCACGTGTATAGCCGTCATCGTGCCCGCAGAGCAGAAAACTGTCGCCATCAATGCTCTGTCCTTGGTTTTGCTTTCAGGCATTGCCAGTGTCATCGTCTCATTCTTCCTCTCCATGTACTACAATGTGATTAACTCCTGGTCCTTTTGGTACCTCTTCCATTCATTCCAGGTAACCAGGGAGGCTTTGGCAGGTGCACCAGGGCTGGGGGATAGAGTCCCACAGGCTGAGATTGGGGTCTATCCCCGATTGCCCCTTGGGGAAAGGGCGGCACGAGAAAATGAATCATCTAACATTCGTCTGGACGGCCTCGTTATATTGGCAGCAGTACAGCGAGAATACTCCAAAACTTACATTGCAACAGACTGAGGGCAAAACACAATGTAATGTGGGGGAAGGATTGGAGTGGGAGATCTGGGAGAAGTGTCTTCACTGGCTGGGTCCCCAAAGGAATTCTCCCCCCCACCCCAGCCAGTTACATTTTGATTTTCTCCATAACTTCTGGGGATTTACTGGTGCAAAATTCTTGCATATGGCTCCATAAAGGACATTTGAAATGAAGGGGAATAGGGGCGAGTCTTTATGAGAAGATATCTGGGAAATATAATGAAATTCCTGTCATCAAAGGGATGTGATGACCTTTGCTGCTGCTATGCTTTCTTCTTCTGGTCTTTCTCTGTTTTCTGACTTTGGGGGAGACGGGCTTCTTATGTCTCCTGTCCCCCTTCCAGAGCCTAGAGCCAGTCCTCAGGGGTGACATAGGCTTTCCTCTCTGTGACCAAACCTCTGCTTTCTGGCTTCTCTGCCTTGACAATGACGCTTATTCTTCACTTCCAATTGGATGATTCAGCTCAACAAGGCACGTATTATTTCCTAGAGTTATAACAATAGGGGCATGCATTTATATAGTGTTTTAAAGGTGGTAAAGTGTTCTGCATAGATTTTCTCACCTGAGCCTCACAATAACCCTGGGGTATGGGTATCATTATCCTATCTTACAGAGGAGCAAGCTAAGATTTAGTGGGTAAGTGATTTGTTCATGGTCACACAGCTAGCAAAGTGTAATAGGGATGATTTGAACCCAGGTCTTCCTGACTCCAAGTCCAGCACAAAGGCACTTCCTTGTGTTCTTCCTTTTTCTTTTCTCTTCTTCTCACCCAGCAAGGAAGCAGAGAATAGGAAACACACACTGTAACAGTCACTTGGGAAGAAGAAAACTAGGTCCCCTTTCCATCAAGCTTATTCTAGTGACAAAGTGCACCAGGGCTTAGTGAGATTTGGGCAGTTGTAGGTTCATGGCTAGATATCTTTGAGTATAGCCTTGAGTCTTTTAGTGTCTAAAAATACTGATATGCCTGACTCAAACAATCCATGTATAGAATATATATTCGTCCCTTTGACCAAGTGATACTGCTATTGGGTCTATACCCCAAAGACAGCAAAGAAAGAGGAAAAAGACTCATGTTCAAAAATAGTAGCTCTTTTTTGGTAGCAAAGAATTGGGGGGATGTTCATCAATTGGGGGGATGAATTCTGAACAAGTTATAACATATGACTATGATGGAATAATATTGTGCTGTAAGAAATTATGAAGGGGATGGTTTCAAAGAAACCTGTGAAGAGTTATGTAAACTGATACAGGATGAAGTGAGCAGAATGAGGAGGACAATGTACGTAATAACAATATTGTAATGATGACCAACTTTGAAAGACTTAGCAACTCTGATCAACACAGTTGAACCAAACATAATTCCAGAGAACCCATGGTGAAACATGCTATCTGCTTCCAGATAGAGAGGTGATAGCCTCAGAGTAAAGTGTGTATTCTTTTATATACATACATACATACATATATATATATATATATATATATATATATATATATATATATTATATATATATATATATATATATATATATATATATATATATATATATATTGAAGTGTATATTCTTTTTTTCCCCTTTTCCTTTTCCTTCTCTTTTTGGACGTGGATAATAATAGAATTGGCTTTGCATGACTACTATGTGTTTGTAATAAGTCTTGGGTTCTGGCTTTTATTTTTCTTTTCAATGGATGAAGGAGGAAGGAGAATTCAGAACTGAAAATAAAACTAAATAAAAAACAAATCTATATCTGAAAGTGGGCTGGCTCACTTCTCTGAACCTCAGTTTCCTCATCTATAAAATGAGGTTAGATTAGATGAAGTCTGAAGTCTCTTCCAGCCTGAGCTCTACGATCTTGTAAATTCTTGGGCAACACTGTATAATAGAAGGCACACTGGATTTGGAGTCAGAAGACCTGGGTTAAAGTCCTACATCCACTATTTCTAGGCAAGTCCCTTGATTTCGCTGAGTCTCAGTGTTCTTATCTGTAATATAGGATTAATGGTACTTGTTCTATGTATCTCACAGATTATGATGAGGAACAGATAAGAGGATAAGCTCACTTAGTAACCATAAAGCACAAATATCAGTGATTATTTCTCCTCCAACATGGAGTCTTGATCAGTTGGAGTTCCCATTTGAGCAGATCCTCAAAAAGATATTAGCTACTTTGTCTTTAACCTCTTCACCAATCCACTAACTCAAAATGAAATCTCATGACAATGAGCTACCACTCTGAGAAACTGTGCACTCTTTAGTGCACACCTTACAAGCACTGAAGGTTGTTGAACTTTGTGAATCACATTAATATTTATTTATTCACTCAGGCAGTCATAAGTAGAGTCTTTGTGGAGGGAATTCCCGTTCCTGCAATGCTTGGAGTCTTGTTGATTGTGGCAAATTATTTGAACTACGCCTCTCCGGAGGCTCTGTATGAGATTTGCAGCATGGAGGTGTCACCCAGCATAAATGCTGATTGAGTAGGTAAGCTTCCAGTGCGCCCAGTTTAAAGAGAGGATGGGAATCTCTTGGGGGTAATAAGATACAGTTTTCAATAGCTGGAAATGCAAATGAGAGAGATGTAAACCTATGGCAGGTAGAGTAGCAGGAAAAACTACAGCCAAGTTGTCTTCCACACCAATCCAGAAAATGCACCAGACCAAGTCCTGATAGAGAAATACAAGAAATAATCACAGTCATTTTAGTGACAGCCCAGGAAGAGTGACAGATAGGGAGGCAGACAGTGAGGTCTGTAATCATGGGGGACAGGATCTAGCACTCCAGAGCAGGGAAAGTCTGTACATCATGGCAAGAAGTCCCAGATACAGTACAGAGGAATCCAACCTTATGCAGAATGCAGAAATAGGTACTGATAGCTCTGTTACTGACTACCCAGTTCCAAATCAAAAATGCATAGTGGACTGAAGAGGAGACTTGTGCTGAAGGTGGCATACTATGGTAAGAAGGAGTTGTAGGTCCTAGGCTATGTACTAAGCAAGGGGCAAGTTCAGACACAATCAGCAACTGTGTGGCTATGATGCCAGCAATGAACTGAAGTATTGTTTCCAGCTTCCAGCTCAGTCTGAAGCCCATAGAGGAATAATCTAGGCAGGACTCCCAGACCAAAGGAGAACCTGTTTTCTCTCCCCCTGACCCAGTGGAGCTTTTCAGATGGCTGATAATGGTTGAGTACAGCAGTTGTCTACTGAAACTCCAACCAGGGCAAACCCACAGACATGTTTCTCCAAGAAACTTGCAGAGCTCAGACCAAGAGGTTAGAAATTTAACTTTGCCCTGGGACAGACCACTTTAGGAGCACTGAAAACTCATAGGTCATCAGCATGAACTGAACTTGAAATCTTGGAAAAACCTAAAACTCAATATCCCAAGAAAGAAGCAGCATAACTAGCCCAAGTATTCCTACTAGAAGCTTGGCCTTAACATAAAGTCTGAAGTCAGAATATAGGCAGGAGCAATTTTTTAAAAATCCCATTACAAAAAGCTATTGTGGTAATAGGAATGCTCAAGACATCAAATCAGAGGAAGAGAATGATGCCCAAACATATACAAATAAAGTCTCAAAGGAAAATACAGCTTGGGCACAAGTTCAACTAGAATTTCTCGAAGAGATGAAGCAGCTTCAAAACCTTATCCAAGCAACAAACTCTCAAAATTAGAATGGACCAAATAAAAGTTAATGATTCCATGAAACAAGAAACATTATCCAAGCAACAAACTCTCAAAGTTAGAATGAACCAAATAAAAGTTAATGATTCCATGAAACAACAAGAAATACTACAACAAAGTCTAAACACTGAAAAAAAAAATAAGACAATGCATACTATCTTCTCGCAAAAAAAAAAAACTGATCTGGAAAGCAGATAGAAGAAAGATAATTTAAGAATTGTTGGTCTATCTGTTAAGCTACACCCAGGTCAAAAGCTTATACATCACATTTCAAGAAATCATGAAAGAAAACTGCCCAGATATCTTAGAACCAGAGGACGAAGTAGGAATAGAAAAAATGCACTAGTCACTTGAAAAACAGCTCTTAGGAACATTATAGTCACAATCTAGGGCTTCCAGGTCAAAGAAGAAATACTGCAAGAAGCCAGAAAGAAAGAATTTAAGTACTGAGGAGCCATAGTCAGAACCAAACATAATTTAGCAGTCTCCACTATAAAGGTGCAGAGAGCTTAGAATACAATATTCCAGAAGGCAAAGGATATAGACTTATAACCAAGAATAAGTTACCCAGCAAAACTGAATATAATCCTATTTGGGGATGGTAGATGGGGAGGGGGAGGATTAGTCTTTAATGAAATAGAAGACTTGCAAGCATTCCTGGAGAAAAGATCAGAGCTGTGTAAGAACAGGACTCAAGAGAAACACTAAAAAAGTAAATATGAACAAGCAATTATAAGGGACAAAACATGGATAAGCTGTGTGTATGTTAATATGAAGAGATGGTATATGTGTGCTGATTCCAGAGGATGTCTCATTAAACACAGAGCCTGAGAGTAATTGTGTTATGTTTTGATGATTTTAAAAGAAGAGAGGAAAGGAAAGGGAAGAGGAGCACACTCTGGGGGGACCGAGAGAAGGAGAAGAGAAAGATGGGGACAATTATGTCACATAATTGAGGTATACAAGTAGAAATCTATATAACAAGAAGTAAGAAGAAAGAGGAGTAGGTGACACTTGGACCTTACTCTAATCTGAACTGGTCAAAGAAAGGAAATATGCACACAGTTAGGTACAAAAACACATTTCACTCAACAGGG